GGCAGTGCCGTTAGCTGTACTACGCTCTCGAGATCGATCAACTCTCCTTTCCACGGTTAGTTTAGAGCAGCTGGATCGAAGATGGCCCTTCTCCCCACAGCCATAGCACCTAGGGCTGTATCCTTTGCTGCGGTCACGGACTGTAGCTGCTGCAACTACCTGCCGCGATGGGAACGATGATCCTGCCGCACGGCTTCCACCTCCAGTGCATGGGCCAAGGCGTTCTTAAGCGTCTCGTGGTGCCCGAGCCTCACAGCAGCTCTGACTTCCAGGTCGCGGATGCCGTCGATGAATGTCTGCACCAGGTTCCCTTCAATGAGCGCAGGTACAGACCGGTAAGCTTTTCGCACCAGCTGCTCCACCTCTAGAGCCCACTGCTGCAGGTTTTCGTTGATGCGCTGCACACGATCTTTAAGCTGTGCACGAAAGACGTGTTCCAGGTGAGCGTCGCCATATCTCGCCTCCAATGCCTCAAAGAGTTGCTCATAAGTCACTTCCTCACCGAGAGCTTCCAGAACTCTTAAGGCCTGGTCGCGCGTAACAATACGACTTAACAAGACTTTTGAAAGAGTCAAGAGATTTAGCACGACGAATATGGAGAGGTAAAGATTTCCACAATCGCACAGCAGTTACGGTGAAGGATTTCTTGAAAAAGGAAGAAGAGTACAAAGGTGTAGAGAGAGAAAGATTGACGGAGGATCGAAGGAACCGATTATGGGTAAGAGAAAGATACTGGAAACGGTTTTTTAAATAAAGAGGTGTGGATTTAACAGCACACTATACAACGCGAAGAGAATGTGAGTATTCCTGCGAAGGCGGATCGGGAGCCATTTGAGCTGTTTGCTAAATTCGGAGATATGATCATATTTGTGAAGCCCAAACATAAATCTAATGCATAAATGTTGAACGCGATCAAGCTTATTAAGCTGCTCCTCGGCAATTTCAAGACAGCAAATATCAGCATAGTCAAGGATAGGGAGAAGTAGAGACTGGGCGAGCGTAACTTTAGTTGATGTGGGAAGAAAATTACGTAATCTACGTAAAGAGTGTTACGCGCTCCAATGCCTCAAATCGGCGCACTAGCGCCATCTAGTCTCGAACCGAAGAACTAAACTTCTTGAAGTTTAAAACTCGAATTCTCGGTACCTTGCGCGTGTCTTTTTGCAATTATATAAGTAGGCGCTGCAAGATGCGATCGAGGTAGACTGGAACTCGGCGACACAAGCGAAGCTTCGGAGCGGAATTAAGTGAATTAGTGTATTTAATTATTAGTGTTTTTAGTTTTAATTTGTGTAAAGTAAATTAAAGTGTTAATTTAGGTAATTTTATCGGCAATTTTTATTGTCACGAACCTCAAGCTCGTAATAATTGGTGTCAGAAGTGGGATAAAATCATGCCGATTTTACCTAAGGACGAGATGGAGAGTGTCCGTACCCGGAGTCAACGCCAGCAGGAGACGGACCAGAGGAGATTTGGTGGTGCAACGCCGCAGACGTCGGAGGGCCAAATGCCAGCCACGGAGGCTGCGGGCCCGTCAGTAGCTCCTACATCTGCAGCACCTGACTTAGGTGCTCTGATGGCGATGCTACAGGAACAGGCTCACCGACAGGAGGAACAGGCTCGCCGACAGGAGGAACAGGTCCGTCGGTTGGAAGAGCAGCTGCGGGGCGGCCAGGAAGAACAGATGCTTCTCATGAAGGACCTTCACGCTACCTTCGGGAAAGAGATAAGGGAGGTGAAGGATAAGGTTGCTCAACATGAAAACCGCCTGTCGGAAGCTGAAACCCGAATTGACCAAGTGAACAATCGGGTTGACAACGTAATGGCTGACATGAGGAAATCACTTGACGAACTCAAACTTGGGGAGGGAACTACAGCTCCCGTAGTAGCTACTACACCTTCGCTACGTGGGTTCAAGGTGCCACCATTCGACGGGACTTCTTCCTGGTCAGCCTACAAAATCCAGTTCGAGGCTGTTATGAAGGCGAACGGCTGGAATAAAAGTCAGGCCATGACTGCTCTCACACTAGGCCTGCGCAACCAGGCCTTAACAGTTCTGGAAGCTCTCGGTGAGGAAGTGACTTATGAGCAACTCCTTGAGGCATTGGAGGCGAGATATGGCGACGCTCACCTGGAACACGTCTTTCGTGCGCAGCTTAAAGATCGTGTGCAGCGCATCAACGAAAACCTGCAGCAGTGGGCTCTAGAGGTGGAGAAGCTGGTGCGGAAAGCATACCGGTCTGTACCTGCGCTCATTGAAGGGAACCTGGTGCAGACATTCATCGACGGCATCCGCGACCTGGAAGTCAGAGCTGCTGTGAGGCTCGGGCACCACGAGACGCTTAAGAACGCCTTGGCCCATGCACTGGAGGTGGAAGCCGTGCGGCAGGATCATCGTTCCCATCGCGTCAGGGAGGTTGCAGCAGCTACAGTCCGTGACCGCAGCAAAGGATACAGCCCTAGGTGCTATGGCTGTGGGGAAAAGGGCCATCTTCGATCCAGCTGCCCTAAACGAACCGTGGAAAGGAGAGTTGATCGATCTCGAGAGGGTAGTGCAGCTAACGGCACTGCCTGGCGGCGACAGGATCATCGTTCACCTCACGCTAGGGAGGTTACAGCAGTTACGGTTCGCGACCACAATAAAAGATACAGCCCTAGGTGCTATGGCTGTGGGGAAAGGGGCCATCTTCGGTCCAGCTGCCCTAAGCACACCCTAGGAAGGGAAGGTGAACGGTCTCAGAAAGGAAGTGCGGCTAACAGCACCGCCCAGCAGCAGCAGGAATACGACTTTACTATCAGACACTGCAGCGGGAAATCTCACGGCAACGCAGATGCATTGTCAAGAAGACCTTGTCCTGAAGATTGCAACCATTGTAGTAGGCAAGAGAGTAAGGAGGTGGTATCCGTGAGGATGCTCAGGACAGACCACCTCAGCAACGGGTGGAAGGACAACCTACGACATGCACAGCAGGAAGATCCGGACATCAAGCCGATCCTGGAATGGATGAAGGCCGGTGCTCCCAAGCCTAAGTGGAGCGACGTCTCAGCAATGAGTTCAACCACGAAAAGCTATTGGGCCCAATGGGACAGCTTGCTGATTCAGGATGGAGTCCTGTGCCGTAAATGGGACAATGGTCGAAGAGACAGCTGTCGTTTGCAAATGGTTGTCCCTAAAGCTAAAGTGCCGAATGTTCTACAGTTGTGCCATAATGGTCGTTCAAGAGTCCATCTGGGAGTTAAACGAACTCTACTGAAGGTCCGAGAACAGTTTTACTGGGTCCATTATCGTGACGATGTCGAGGATTGGTGTCGTACATGTACAAGTTGTGCGGCCGTGCGGGGACCTCAGACACGTAGTAGAGGAGCACCGAAATTGTACAATGTTGGTGCACCACGGGATAGGACAGCCCTTGACATTGCGGAGCCGTTACAGAAAGGCGCAAGAGGGACTCCTAAGATCGTCCATGTGGATCGCCTAGCGCGTTATTATGGGACCGATAATGCTCGGGACGAGCATGTCTTAGGAGGGGGCAGTGTTACGCGCTCCAATGCCTCAAATCGGCGCACTAGCGCCATCTAGTCTCGAACCGAAGAACTAAACTTCTTGAAGTTTAAATCTCGAATTCTCGGTACCTTGCGCGTGTTTACTTGAACATTCTGGATATTTCTTTGCTAATTTAAATAAGTAGGCGCTGCAAGATGCGATCGGGGCAGAGTTGAACTCGGCGACACAAGCGAAGCTTCGGAGCGGAATTAAGTGAATTAGTGTGTTTAATTATTAGTGTTTTTAGTTTTAATTTGTGTAAAGTAAATTAAAGTGTTAATTTAGGTAATTTTATCGGCAATTTTTATTGTCACGAACCTCAAGCTCGTAACAAGAGCTTAACGCAGCAAACATTTTTCTACTGACCTCATTAACATGTGAGGTCCAAGACATACAGGAGTCAAGATACAACCCCAGGTTTTTAACCTTGTTACTGTAAGGGATTAGAGCGCAGTCTAGTATGATAGGGGGTAGGGAAGGGGATTTTACCAATTAATCTAGAACTACCGATGACAATGACCTGAGTTTTCTTAGGATTAATCGTTAAACCATAACATTTACTCCAGTTCGAAATACAAGTCAGATCAGCGTTAATAGTGTCAACTGCTTTAGACAGATTTTCAAGAGACGACTGAGTATAGATTTGGAGATCATCAGCATACAAGTGGTAGGAAGAGGACAAATTGTGACTTAAAGAGTTAATGAAAATTGCAAACAGGTGAGGAGACAACACGCCACCTTGTGGTACACCAACAGCTGTAGTAATCCAGGTGGAAAAACCTAGTGCACCTGAATTAGCTGTCGGCGACCAAACAAGTAACTTCGGAACCAGTCAACTACAGTTGGAGATATGTTGAGAGAGCGCAGGATGCGTAACAAGATATCAAAATCTACAGTATTAAATGCGTTACTAAAATCAAGCAACGTGAGAATGGTAAGCTTTTGTTTCTCCATACCATACCGAATATCATCAGTGATTTGTAAAAGTGCAGTAGTCGTACTATGACCAGGACGGAAACCGGATTGCAAGAGATTTAAAAGATTATGTTTTAAAAGATAGGTGCTTAATTGATTGTGTACAAGACTTTCTAGAACCTTGGAAAAGAAAGGCAAAATAGAGATAGCTCTATAATCAGAAAAACTAGAGGCATTCGACTTTTTCGGAAGAGGAACTACAAATGCGTCTTTCTAAGCTGAAGGGAAAAAGCAGAATTCATTGCATAATTCAGGATAGAAGTGATTATAGGTAAAAGGAGATCAATGAGAGGGATGACCATTTTCCGACTAATGCATTTACTACCAATCGAATTTGAATGGATGGACATTATGGCTCTCTTAACATCACAACTATTAAATTGGCTAAAATTAAAAGTAGAGGTGTGGGAGCTTTTAAAAGCAGAGGAGCGGGAGCTTTTAAAGGGGATTTTGAAAAAGAAAACCATCAAATTTGTTTGAGTCAAGTGTGATTATTCTGAACTCGGTCTGCCAGATTTTGCTCGGTGACGGTTATAGATGGCTCCAGGTCAGTAAAAAGACGATGCATCCTAGTCCGGTACGCAAAACCTCCAACCTGTTTCCCAAACTTGGATTGTCCATTACATGCCACGTACTCCACCAGTGCGGTTACCGATTGCTGGACCCACGAAGACTCTGCCGGCACTAAGCCAGCTGGTGGTGATGATGAATGCGAAAGGCTGCTGGGTGGTCTTGCAGTACTTTGCACACAGCTGACGCGTCCAGCGCCAGCTCCAGACGCACCCTGGCGACCTCCAGGCCATTTGCACGTTCTTTTGAATTCCATCATCTATTTATTGGGCGTTTGTTAACGAGCGACGCCCAGACCCGGCACAATTTCCTGGAGAGGCCATGTGTACAAGCGGACCTTAGCACCTTCATTTCTGCCGAGGCACGGCGCTAACACATCTTGGGAAGGTGCTGATTGATTGCGTATACGAAGCCGATTTTACACATAACGTCAGCGGGCGATGGGGTCGTCACTTCCCTTCGCCTCATCATTATTATTTTTATTAATAATATACAGGTTGGCGCAATAGAACGTGCATATTTCATCATCTTTTTCGCGGGGTTTTGTATGCCTGCATAGGGGGAACAAAGTGTAGCGCCAGTAGCGGTACTGGCGCAGTTTTCAACCGCCTTGAAAAAGAAGGATTTCTTGATGAACCGATTTTCATGATTCTTTATTTTAAAGTTGGTGCTGATCAAGATTTGACCAGTAGTTTTTGAGTTATATTCAAAAATGCGTATTGCATTGAATTTGAATACATTGATGTTCTCATTTAATTTATATTGTAGGCGGTTGTACAAAATTTTTAATTTTACAACTTGTAGTAGCCATGAGTCAGTTCGTTTGGAAGCGACGCGTCCGTTTTACACTTATCGCGATGAAGTTTGCAAAGAACTTTGAACCTGGATCTTAAACTGAAGCTGTATAAGGTTCGATTATCGCAAGAATTGAAAGAAAATGAGTTTGGCGTTTGCTGAAGAAATGTTTAAACGATTTTACAATTTTGACAAAATCCTTTTTTCTGATTTGATTAAATTGTCGCTATTGAAACAGTGTAAACCTTAGACTTAAGCACTAAAACCACTTCATAGTCTAAGTGTGTGTGTGTCATAGAGATCTATGGGCGGCAATACCAAGCAAAAGAATTATTGGTCGTTTCTTCTTTGAAGATGTGCAGGTTCACTGTTCGGCCAACCGCTATGTTGTGATGTTAAAAAGTTTTTTTCACACGAGAACATGAATTGTCATGTTCTCGTGTGAAAAAATACACCAACAACAAGTGTGTGCCTAGTTACAACAAGACGGAGCAACTAGGCACACGGCAAATGTCTCTATGGCAGTATTGAAATAAAAAGTTTCCAACCAGACCGCTCAAGCAGTCCAGACTTAACGCCTCTTGACCTTTTTTATGGAGATACCTCAAACACAAAGTCTACATCAACAACTCGAGAAACATTGATCAGCTTAAAGAAAATATCCGGAGTGAAATGGCAGCGATCACACTAGCAACGCTAAAGAAAGTTTTTTCTAATCTGCGCTCACGATTAGAGGAGTGCTGACGCACAGAAGGCCATTATTTAGATGATATTATATAGGTTAATAAATGCAGTTTATTTTAAAAAATAAACTGTATTTATTAATCTATAGATTCATAGTTTTATTTTAACCACAGCTTATATATTTATATTTTTATACGTTTTTTATTGCGCCACTCTGTAGTATCGGTTTTTAACTATGATTCAAGAAAAGACTTTCAACAGAGAAGTCCCTAACCGCGGCGCCACATTTATCATGGAATTTCACGTTTTCTGTCAAATTCCATACTTTACATTTTATATAAGTAGTTATCATATTTCTAATGGAACTTTTACCATGAAACAGATTCTACTTTAAGCCTGAGACTTAGTAATTACATACATATAGAATATTCTTCTTTATATATTCTTCCCTTCTATGAATATTTATATGCATAGAAGGGACCTATATTTCTACATAAAATGGGTCAATATACTTGTCTTGCTTTTCCTCATTTAGTTTATATTATTATATATGGCAAAACTGGAAACCTATTAAAAGATGTTGCGTGTAATTTACACAAGGAGCTTGAAAGACAAGTGCAACAATCTTAGGTCTCTTTATACTATGCCAAAACGTGAAGTAGCGAGAAATTAGGTTTGGAGGATTGTGTGATTGTGTTTGTGAACACCTCCACAGAACAAACGAAATTAACATACTTAAAACGTAAAGTATTTTGAAATCTCACTTCATCTCATCATCGTCAAACAGTAAATAATCTGATGACCATGAGCCTCTACCATAGTAAGCACTCAATAAATCTTCGTACCAGACCTCTCAATCGCTTGACGTTGTTTACTGTCACCGGTCTTAACACAATTGCGAGTTAGTACTATCGCCAGTAGATTTGAATTTTTTGATATAGGTTTTACGCACACCACCCCGATTAGACGGATCGTGGCTGCAAAATCAATATAAGCTGGACCAGTGCAAATCACTGGTCCAGTTTCCTACCACCAGCCTTTAATATTTGGGTTAGGCGTTTCTGGGTGTCACCAAACGCTAGAGACTTTCCCTGAGTCAGCGCAGCGTATCACTAGTAGATAAGATTGAAATTGTGTAAAATAATTCTTAACATTCCCCTTATATACCTAATCTAAATAATATATTAACTAAGACACGATTAATTTATTAATTAGGTGTTTTGAATAATACCCTAAAATCAGCACGATTAGGTTCAAATTCAAGCACGGGTCGTGCAGAAAACTGCGCCTGACCCTCGGCGAGCGCGCGTAGCTCTGCCAACGGCTCCATTCGCCTGGACGGAGTCAAAATCTTGGCCACTACAAATAATTTCAATTGATTATCTTTCCAATATTTTTAATTTCTCAATTAACCACCTTTCATACTGTTGTTGTAATAAATATTGTAAGAAATGAATATGAAGAATTACTTACTAAACATAAGGACCACGAAAGCGTTCATCTTAAATTTTTATAGTACGCGATGCAACGGAATAAGATAGTCACCGGTTCCGCTGAAAATACTAATCATAATTTCAAGTGCTAATTTACGATATGCTAACTTTTTAAAAGATTTGGAGTACCACGATAGACTCTACCTTGCCCCACAACCATCTTGTAATGAGAATAGAACTGCGACCGAATTTCCAGCCACCAGTCACAACGTTTTTATAGTATAAAAGTAATGCACGGGTGTGCGCGCAAACACAGATGCACTATATTCTCTCACTGTCACAGTCCTATGGGACGGCAGTCGTAAACGATCAGAGAAAGGTCAGGTGCAAGGCAGTTTTTCGTGCTTACCGAGACACTAGGGTGAAACATCGTCAATTTCTTTACTCCTAGCTGTTACTAAGAATTACTTGACAAAAAAACTCAAACCCTCCATTTGGTCGGGCCAAAGGCCTCGGGATTCGAATCCGGGACCACATAATTAAATTAGTCATTTATAATATATTTTAATCAGTACCACAAGAATCTTCGTTCGTATTTATTAGAAAAGAATTTGAAATTGTTCTGCGTGTTCCATGACGTCATCTGAATTCCACATGGCAATTTCTGCTCGTATTACGTGTTCGCAGCATTTAGCCGATTAGCGTCCATTATAATTATGGCGTCATAAAATAATGTTTTTACATCACTTATGTTGTAATGTTGAATTAGTGGCACCATATGTTGATGTATTTGTTATTTCGACCCACGCCAACTCAACGGAATTGAGTTACAGTGGTATGGTGGCAGTCGGAGAATTTTAATGCCATTTCTTTATTTATCGACTAAATATTTATTACATTGTGTAATTCCTTTTTTAAATAACTCATGTCCATGAATATCTCTTTGCTTTGCAGCCAGTCTGTTATTTGTTGTTTATTCCAACCGATACTAATAATCTACCGTCGCGATTAGTAAAATCAAATCTAAGCTCGGGCAGTATTTTATGAAGTGAGAGTACGTTTAAAAGTCGGAGTATCTTTATCAGCTTCACAAAGTGTCATAATTGTTTTAATGTAGAGTAGCCGATATTTAAATATAGTAAATGGACTTTTCTCCTTAATTCACATTTATTCAATACATCTAATTTATCCATCGTGGATAGCCAAGCTCTTTGTTTCACCGGTGTGTGTTATTTTCCTTTTGTTCTCTAATGATTTTATAAACCGTATTTTGAAATACGTTGCGTGCACTTCTTTTTTTTAACCGACTTCAAAAAAGGAAAAGTATCCTAACTCAACTGTATTTATATGTATATTTTGTGATTATTTTTCTATTTCTAAGCTTAAGAGTCATCCTTAATAATGCGTACTTAATTGACTTCGACTACATTTATGATCACATTTTATTTATATTAAAGTCGGTTGTACAGTTTTTTTTTTAAATTTTACCAGTTGTTTATTACTGAGCTTTCCACAGTCACATTTAAAGTACTTTAAAATATTGTAGTTTATTCGTCTTTATCCGCTATGAATTATCCATCCCCTTTTATTTTTACGAATGGGTGAGGTATTAATATTTTAAATTTAACCGTTCAATGGTCAAAAATGCCGGTACGGCGCACACCGGACAGTTCAAACCATAGAATACTATAATATACAATAGAATGGCTGTCAATCTCATTTTGTACGAGGATCGACGTCGCCGGAAGCACACATACAAGCAATTACGTCGTATTATCACTACTACAAACCCGATTCACCGTGTTGACAGACTGAGCGAATTTACACATTGTAAACTTTTGATTAATGTACAAGATCAACATTAAACAAATGAAACGTTTATATTTTAATACATATTTATTTGTAAATAGTGTGCAGACTAATCTTAAGTATAATCATTGTATCACTTTTTCTTATTGTAAATAAAAAGTTGTTGAACACATATTAGTCTTTGCATTTAAGCAAACTGTAGTATATAATAGTATCACCGCCAGGGATGTAGTCTTGTTTAGTGACTTACCTGCAACCGGTAAGCACCGGTAAAACTAGAGTGTATTAATTTATTTTGAAATATTTCAATAATATTTTTTGTTGTTAATTTTGTAATATTTTATACTAAAAGATAAATGCTAAAGTATTCACTTTGTAAAAGTGCAATGAAAAAATGTTTTGTATATTCCAAATACACGTTTGTTTGTAAATTTTTCAATTAAAAATCCAAAATTTTCCTTTAAGAAATTTATATTTGTCTTATGACAAAACGTAATTTGCTGCCAAAATATATTAAAAATAGATAAATAGAGTTGTTCGGAATCACGTGTATGAGAAATCCATACTTTATATATATATATATATATATATAAGCCTAAGATATATATTGCGAATGTATGTCTTAGGCTTTTATGGCTCAACCACTGAATCTATTTTGATAAAATTGAGATGGTTGGCCTGATTACGTCAAAAACTGATATCACAGCTAAGTAGGCTGTAAAGTCTACTTTCGTTTAGTCGTTATTAGCCGTTAAACCTCCAATTTGAATAAAAATACTGAAATGGGTATTAAACTTTGTATAAGAAGTGTTAAGCCATTTAACCGATATTAACGAGATTTGGTATTCAGGTAGCTGGAAAGATTAAAAAGGCTAGGTTACCTTTTATCATCAAAGAGATAACGCGGTATGATTGAATTCCACGCGGACGAAAACATATTCGTATACTTCTTTAAATTAGTATTTCTTTATTATTTACTTGAAACGTGTTGGCCTGTTTATCTACGTTAGTTAACATCAACAAGTTGTAATAGGTTGCTTATAAATACAAAACTAATTAAAACTAAATGTTGGTCTATTATAAATATATATATATATATATATATATATATATATATATATATATAGATATAGATATATAATAAGGTACTTACTTTCTTTAATAAATAAAACTATAATACATAATATATAAATAGTGTGTTTGTCTACTATGTATTCTTTAAGTCCGGATCTCCAGGAGAACTTCAAGAATGGTTTACGGACATGAAAAAGCGCAAAATCAGATGAAAGAGTGCGAACATATATATTTTTTACTTTCAACACAAAATGAGTCTAACCACACTTTGTGGGTAATGAGGCGTGAGATGAATATATTATAGTATGTAGTAATGATACGTAGCCAGGTAGTTCTCCTCTAAAAACTTACACTCCCGTCCCATCTAAAAACTTTATTGAAATTTTTTAATGTTATCCTGTAGAGGGAACAAATTTACAATTTGCTAAAAAATGTTAAAATTGAGTTTAGTCGTAGGTACCTATGTATGTTCATTAAGCCAAGTAATAATTTAAAGGCGACAATATTTTCTGGCTTATCGGTATCGGTAAAATTTTGTTACATCTTTAGTGCTTCCAATATCTGTTGTTTTTGTATACATCAATATTTCTTGATTGGTAACGTCAAAAGAGATGTGTTGACATTTATACGTGTGAATTGATATAGTGATATGTTAGTGGCTACTCGGGCTCCGCCCACTCCCCCGTTCTATTATATATGTAACTAGCTTGCCAGGCAGACGTTGTTCTGCCTTTTTCGACGACCCTTTGTCATGTTCTATTAAAAATCCTTAAATTTGTAAAAAAAAAAGTTGTGGGTCACTCGTGGGCAAAAAAACTATCCTATCTCTCAAGTTAGGCCAAACTGCACACGGTGTACAAATTTGATTAAAATCGGTTAAGTAGTTTAGGAGTCCATCGCGGACAAACAACGCGACATGTAATTTATATACAAGATATAGTATTCTATGGTCCAAACAGACGCTGCGGCTGTCTATTAATTCACTGTGTTGCCGGTTTCGTAACCTGTTCATATTTACGGAAAGGCTTGTTGATAGACTAAGCCAGATAACAAATGAGTGTTAATCTGTAATTCGTTAACAAATTTGAAGATTTGCCAGTCGAAAAGCGTCAATTAAATCACGCCAATTCAGTGCTTGTTAATTTTATCTCTTATTTAGTGTTCTTGTTTATTACTGCTGAAAACATCAGAGCAAATATAAATTAACGTTAACATTTGCATGTAGTGTTGTGTGTTTCATTCACTTTTGTTGCAAAATAAATCTTTTTTTTATTTTTTAAGAAAATTGGCTGTTTCTCATATTTAAACGAGCTTACTTCGCTTTAAGTACTAATGCTATATTATAGTATAAACTTAGGTGAGAAAAACGTTTTTATTATAGTTCTTTGTATAAACCGCGTCATTATTTCCATAAAATACAAAAAAACACGAATTAAGTAAAATATGAAACGTTTTTTGGCCCGGCTAGTATTAGATAGCCGCAATGGCGTTTACTTTTGAAGGGTTAATGGAAGGACAAAGGGCACAACCATTTGGTACGAAGGTCTGCCATCAACTGGTAACTGTAAACTTGACTTTATAACTTTTGGCGATCTTATTGGTCGGGGGGGGGGGGGGGGGGGCACAACGATAACTCAATATTTTCTGTTACTGCAATTTTAAAAATTAATTTTTTTATTGTTTGTAACTGCTCTAAGGCTGACATTCAAAGAAGACCTAAATCATAGATAGACTTTGCACCTATCTCTTTATCTAAATCAGCCTAGATGATATAAAAATAGATTTTCATCTATTAAATTTTCATCTTCTTACGTTTTCCTATACTCGTAGATGGGCAAGATTTTGGCCTACCCGAAAATCTGTTTCTAAGGATCGTGTAATACAATATGTAGTAGTGACTTTTTGTTCCGGATGTCCTATTTAATGGAAACGAGGCATTCCATTTTGATTTTTCTTAACGTATCTACATTTTGGTTCTTAATTAAAGATGTATATAGATGTAGTTAGTGTTTGGGTTACAGCATCCACTTACCATCAGGTGGAGTGTGTGCTCATTTGTCACCTTTATTCCAAAAAAAAATCAGTGGCCAGGTTATTCCCCCAAATGTGTTTACGCATGTCCATATTGTAGTCATTTCTGCAGATTCAGAAACGGAGCTAGACAATATCACTGAAAATTACGTTAAGTGAGTAGGTTCCCAGGCAATGACATTCTGGAACAGGCTATAAATTTTACAAATAAATTATATGAGAGGAGGCAGTTGAAGTCAACCCTATAAGAATCTCATCTCAGGAATTGATGTTCTATAACCTAAAATGAAACAGTTAAAGACTGCTACTTTAAAAATTAAAACGAAGAAAAGTTTCAGTACTTGATGAGTTAGAAACGGCTAAAACAGTAACAACGTCTGTTTCGAATGTTCCCATAGTCTCGATAGACGAAGTAGCGTCACCATTGAGCAGCCGGTGCTCGCTGCACAGCGTCTCGCAGTCTCCTCTGGAAATAGTAAGTCCTCGTAAGCGTTGGCTAATGGTCAGAATACCTGGGTACTCAAAGCAAATATTTTTTATTCAAAATTAGCGATTGTATAAATAATAACATAAAAATTGTAAAAACAAAACACTTTTTGAAAGGCAAACACTATGACATCATTTCAACAAGTCGTATAAAATACCTAAATAACTTGAAAAAATACTAAGGAAGTCAATCTTATTCTATCTTCATAAGATGTTTTTACAGCTCATTGAATTGAATTTATAAAAATCAGTAATATTACTGTAAATCTTAATGATTTCTTATATTTACGCGAACACTATACATGATTAAAACTACTTTTACGGATTTTATCGCGTTTATTTTTACTTTTTATTTACTTTTATTTTTAATTCCCGACGTTTCGGGCGCTTTCCAGCACCCATGGTCACGGGGGACTGAGATGACTGACGTCCCGATGTCATTGTTAAACCCGGAGTACCTTCAGCTTTTTTAATTATTGTTTATGGTCCGATCTATGCAAAATGAACTGACTATGTCCTGAGGTCTTGCAGTGGTATGCTTGGGTTTAGTTTTAATTTTATTGATTATAGGATCCCAAGCAGGTGATAGTACCCAGCCTCCTTCTCTATTGAAATTAGGATGTTTTTTAATTTCAATAGCCTCACGTATCATCCTTGGTAGGAATCGGCGTTCTTTCGCGAGGATTTGTGGTCTATCAAATCTGATGTAATGTTTGGGTCCGTCTAGGATATGATCACAAACTGCAGACTTCCCGGAACGTTGATGCTTCACATCAGCTATATGTTCTTTTACGCGGGTCCTAATTGATCTTTTTGTTTGTCCTATATAAGAGAGACCACATTCACAATCAAGCTTGTACACTCCTGCATCTTGTAGAGGAATATGACACTTGACGGATGGTAGGAACTGACTAATCTTCTTCGGCGGCTTGTAGAATGTTCTAATAGAAGCTCGCTTCAAGATATAGCCAATCTTGTCTGTGACACCTCTGACATATGGTAGTACGGCAGGCACACGCTCGACTGTGGCCGGCTTCACTCGGTCACTGTGACGTAGGCGCGGGACCCGAAGCTTGTTGTCGTGCAGAACTTGCTTGACGTGCTGAAGCTCGGCGGCCAGGTGTTTGCTGTCACAGATCCCTCGTGCTCTCTGTAACAAAATATAAAATAACATGCCAGCAGAATATGCAGTATTACTAAGACATTGCCTTACATCTGGCTACCTATTGTGGAAGGAAGAGTTTTACAAGCAAGTAGATGGTGTTGCGATGGGCTCACCTGTATCTCCCATTGTCGCCGATATATTCATGGAAGACTTTGAGGAGAAAGCCCTCCTTACTGCACCTGTTACACCAAGGATCTACAAGCGGTACGTAGACGATACTTTCACAATTTTACCATCAGACAAAGTAACTGCATTTTTAGAACATCTTAATTCCATAAACTCTAAAATTCAATTTACTATGGAGTTAGAGGCAAATAATTCCTTACCTTTCCTAGATGTGTTAGTCATCCGAAATCCTAATAATACCATTGGTCACACTGTGTATAGGAAAAGGACCCATACAAACCGATATTTAAACGGTGAATCTCACCACCATCCTTCACAGTTAGCTACCGTGGGCAAATCTTTGTTACAGAGAGCACGAGGGATCTGTGACAGCAAACACCTGGCCGCCGAGCTTCAGCACGTCAAGCAAGTTCTGCACGACAACAAGCTTCGGATCCCGCGCCTACGTCACAGTGACCGAGTGAAGCCGGCCACAGTCGAGCGTGCGCCTGCTGTACTACCATATGTCAGAGGTGTCACAGACAAGATTGGCGATATCTTGAAGCGAGCTTCTATTAGAACATTCTACAAGCCGCCGAAGAAGATTAGTCAGTTCCTACCATCCGTCAAGTGTCATATTCCTCTACAAGATGCAGGAGTGTACAAGCTTGATTGTGAATGTGGTCTCTCTTATATAGGACAAACAAAAAGATCAATTAGGACCCGCGTAAAAGAACATATAGCTGATGTGAAGCATCAACGTTCCGGGAAGTCTGCAGTTTGTGATCATATCCTAGACGGACCCAACCATTACATCAGATTTGATAGACCACAAATCCTCGCGAAAGAACACCGATTCCTACCAAGGATGATACGTGAGGCTATTGAAATTAAAAAACATCCTAATTTCAATAGAGAAGGAGGCTGGGTACTACCACCTGCTTGGGATCCTATAATCCATAAAATTAAAACTAAACCCAAGCATACCACTTCAAGACCTCAGGACATAGTCAGTTCATTTTGCATGGATCGGACCATAAACAATAATTAAAAAAGCTGAAGGTACTCCGGGTTTAACAATGACATCGGGACGTCAGTCATCTCAGTCCCCCGTGATCATGGGTGCTGGAAAGCGCCCGAAACGTCGGGAATTAAAAATAAAAGTAAATAAAAAGTAAAAATAAACGCGATAAAATCCGTAAAAGTAGTTTTAATCACTGTAAATCTTGTTAAAATGGTAAATAAAAAAAATAAATATATATATATATATATATATATATATATATATAATAGACATCTACATCTATCCTCGATTACGAATCAAAATGCAGGTGCGTTGTTACCCGTGAGGACTAAGATGGAATGCCCCGTTTCCAGTAAAAAGGATCTCCGGTACACTACGCCCACAATACGAAATACAGCAACATTTAGTTACCATTTTACGCTGGTATTCTGTGAGCGCGTGTTGTTTCCCCGGTCGAGCCGACCTATTCGTGCTACAACTATACAACTAGTGTATCTACAGCATGGCTCTACAACGTACAACACATCTACCTAAAAATGAGCCGCTAGTTTTATACGTAGTACTTTTTAATTGCAATTTCAAATTTATTGTGCAGTTTAAAATGACGAATCACTCATTTGGTCAAAGTATAAAATACTTCCTCACATATGAAATATTGTCCAAAATGAATTTTGAGGCAGCAGTTAAGATATTTAGTTTTTAAAAGGTCTCTGTTTTTTAAAAGTTTCCTAATTAAGTATTTTAAATGGCACATTTGGCTCTTTTTATGTTATAATTATATTTTCTATATATGTTGCTGATCCCACAATAATAATCCATAGGGCATATCACTGTGGAAACAGCTCATCTTTTTTACTGCATATGCAGCGGAAATGAGTTTTCATGACAATTCCTTAATATGAAGCCCCCGTTATTGATGAGAGTCAATTGTAATACCAAGAAAGACTGTGGAATCTACTAACTTAAGTATTTTATCTTTAAACTTAATATGATTACATTAGGAAAATAAAATATACCTAGTGCATTTTGTTTTGTTGCACGTTATTAGTTGAAAACCAGTGTAATACTTGAGAAACAGCGTCATTTATATCGTCAAATGATTATTATCAATTTTAAACACATATCATCAGTAATTAATACTGTTAACTTAATAAAGAAAGATCATTTATTTATATTAAAAAGAGCAATTGTCCCAATATTGTTCCTTGGGGCATGCCAATATGTACGGGTGTTTCAGGCTACTACACCTCAGACCAACATTTAAGCATAAAAACAAATAGTTTCTTATATGGATGACTTGTGTTTAATTGTTTGTTTGCCCCCTATCTTTAACGTTACCTCCTAGCTTACTCATTGCGTATGCTTTACACCGGGTACGTTAAAAAGGATGAGCAACTACTAAGTACTTGAAACTCTCATGTTTCAAATAGTTTAATTTTATTGTTTCTTATTTTTCATAGGTATGCTAAAGTCTACTCAATATGATGGGACAGTTTTTATCATGTTTCTTTAAATAACATTCACAGCGGAAGGGGAAACTCGAAAGAAAATAATATACGAATTCCGAATATTCACCCCGTCTGGAGTGAATTAATTTACAGGCGTTTCCACGTATCCACCCGGTGGCTGTTGTGTACTATTGGGCAGCGTCGCCAATGTTGAGAATCCGTTGTGAAGACATCATCATTAACCAGTGGAAAAGACATACTGTAATTCAGTTAAAAAAATGTGCAGATGCATTTAATGTGCAGACCGTCCGCATGCACGCAGCGTGTGTGCGCAGTGCAGGAAGTTACGATAGCGCGCGACGCTCAGCACCACGTGCGCGTCTCCACAGCCGCTGCCCCACGCTGCATGCTCTGCCCCACTCTCCACCTCACGATCCGTCGCACGCTCCACCACACGCTCAGGCACGGACTCGCTGAGCACACCGCAAAGCTTGCCGCCACACACTAAGCCCGTTCCGCGGTCCTCCTGACACACGCAACTCGTTCTTCATCAGATGAACTGGTAACGATTTTTGTTGGAATAGAAAAAAACGAGTAATCATTCTTCTTTTTAAAAGAGTTTAAGTATGTAAAGCTATTGTTAAAAGATAAAAATAACAAACAAGAAAAATAGCAAATAACCCAAAATCTTATCCAACTTTGAACTGGAAAACTTTGAACAAACATTTTCCCATATAACAAATTATTTTGTATGAGTTCGATTAACTAAAAGGACACAATTGTGAAGTCTTAACAATTTTTCCTTATAAGGTAGCAATGTTTTATGTATGGCACTAAGAAAATCACCTATGTAACCGTTCTGAGAAAGACTGACGTTCACGTGTCACCATCATCATCATTACAGCCCTTCACAAGTCACTGCTGAACATAGGCCTCCCCCAACGAATGCCACAAAGCACGCTCCGGAGCCACCTACATACATCGACCTCATGCCTTACAAGGTTGTCACTCCATCTAGTGGAGGGACGCCATACACTTTGCCTGCCGGTACGAGGCTGTCGGTTCTTCGAGGTAGGTATATGGCCGGCCCCTTGCCACCTCTGCTTACTAATCCACTGGGCCATGTCGGTCACTGTGGTTCTACTGCAGATATCCTCATTTCTAAGTTTATCACGCAGAGAAACCCCATATCTTGCTGAGCGCCTTTGAGCTTCCTCATACGGTCAGCAGTGAAGGACCACGTCTCAGATCCAAAGGTCAAAATAAAATTGAAGTCTGTCTGTAATAATAAAATAACTGGCTAAATTAAAATGACTAACAATAAATATCCTCCAAATAATATAATATTCTTTGCTTACGAGCAGTGTAGGTAGTATAGGTTGACTGATAGAGAACGTCATAAAGCATTAAGTCCGCCTGTACACTCGATAATAAAGTGCAGTTTTGCTTGCAGGTGAATTAATAAAAGAAACCTGTCTTTACTCAATTATTGTTTTATTCGTTAATTGATAGAATCAGGCGTTACTTTGCGGAAATCCATTATAATAAAAATATAAATTACTTTGCAACCTTCCGCTAGCTAAATACAATGATGTGTCTTACCTGGATTGAAGAGCACCTCCCGCCCTCCCTCAATTGCATGCACTAACTCCGTCACCACTAGTACCAGCACCACCACTCCCAACACCACTACTCCCCGCACCAGTACTTTCAACACCACTATTCCAGGTAAGACACACCATCGACGACAATACGACACGCGTTTCGCCTTCACACGAGGCATCCCCAAGCGATGCAGACTCCACGGCGGCTGACCGCTAAGTCTTATATAATCTTAGCCAGTTTTTAACTAAGTGCTCAAAAATGGCAAAAATTCAAAACATAAATGTAATGTTATTTACATTACATTTTGCAATAATGTTTCAACTTATGCCTAAAACTTGTAATTTAGGAATACAATTTATGAGAAATTAAACCTCGACAGTAAAACCAATTTTTCGTTCAAGTTTAAACATATCGTATTATAATATGCAACACATTTATGGAATGAAAGCACTAGTACAAAATTCCTACTCTCTGCAAATTTTCGAAGTACTAAGCACCATAAAGTATTTATTATATGACTTAAGACTAAAAGATTATATCTTTAAACTTAAAATAAACTATAACAAAATTGTTCTCTTTACCATTACAACATTGCTTAAATACAATGTCCTCTGTGGCTCATTGTTAATAGCGTGATACACTGAAACCCAAAGGAAGGCCAGGAAGGTAAGTTCCTGTTTTATCAAATGACCTTTCTGTAGTTTTATAAAGAAGTTTTAGTGACATGTAATGAAATATCATTCAAAATATCATAATTTTAGTATTATTACAATTTATGTAATATAGAAAAAAATGTGAATTTAACTGGCCACTATTCGGTATAACCCTTAGCATTGACTTTGTTCTTCATCATTCGATTTCATTGGAAGTAATATTAATTTAGACAATAGTCTCTTAAGAATATTATTCTCCCTTGCATTGCACTGTTACTACGCGGACGAGTTGATCAGCGCCAGAGTGCAGTGTTATTATTTCTTCAAATAGCCATTTCGCCGGTGGAAGGTCATCTTCCTTAACGATTATAATGTCTCCAAAACATGGAAACGGCACTGTGTCCTGCCACTTATGCCGTTGCTGTAAGGAGTGGAGATTTTCAGATTTCCATCTCCGCCAAAAAATCTTGCATCCTTTTTTGTAAAAATTGCCATCAGATAGCATACCCACGTTTTTTTGGTCATAATTTATGTCTGGTATATTAATTATTGGCTCACCAATGAGAAAATGACTGGGGTGAGTGAGTCTACTGTTTTAGTGCTGTTATCAGAGTAACAGACAGGTCCCGAATTTAGACAGGCTTCTATCTGCGCCGACAGTGTGGCTATTTCCTCATTGGTTAGCGTTGTAGTTCCGTTTATTCTCGATAAACGTTTCTTTACAGACCGAACGTCTACCTCCCATAGTCCACCAAAATTGCCATCATTTGTTAGGAGCTCAGCTACCTCCCTCAGCAGGTTAGCCTTGCCCTGTTTAAACATACACTTTAATTCGCTTGCGGCTCCCACGAAGTTTGTGTCGTTGTCACTCCACAAGTTCCTACAGTGATCTTTTCTTGCAACGAATCTCCTGAATGCTGAAATAAAGGCTTGTGACGTTAAATCCGTGACGGCTTCGAGATGTATAGCTCGCGTAGACATACAAACGAAAACACAGATATAGCCATTTGTTGATTTGTTACTACGGCCCTTTGACGTTCGCAATTGCACGGGTCCGGAAAAATCGACTCCACTGTTTAAGAAAGTACGATTTGGATTTACTCTTTCAGATGGTAACTGGTACATAATTTTTGCCTTGTAAATTATGCTCACCTTTCAATTACGAATAATTTCTCTGAGAGCAGACTTCAGACCAATTACTCAGTACTTGCTGCGGATGTATGTAAGCATCTGAAGAAAACTTCAATGAAAAATTCTAATACGGGTTTTGTTAATTATTATAAGCACAGTAATATGCTGTTTTTGGTATTATAATTGGATATTTAGCATTTTCATTTATATTAGCATTAGCTAGTCGCCCTTTTACTATAAGAAGCCCACTTTTATCAAAGAAAGGTCTAAAGCTTATCAAATAACTTCAATTATTATCTTATTTTAGATATTTTATTTTATCTTCCTGCACTTAGTACTGATAATATTTTATACATCTTTCTTCAACTTCATTTATTTCATCAGTAGTTAAATACGTTTCAGTTTTCTCTTTGTTAAGTAGAAGTGGTAAACACCGTGCAAGAACTCTTAACATGGACGAAAAATTTTACCAAATGGTTTTTCCTATAAAACAAAATTCAACGACCTTTTCATATCCAAATACGTTTGAGGAATATAATCTTTTGTTAAAATCCATTCCTTTATTTTTAACCACTCCGGTCCAGCCCACCATACTTCATTGTTTGCCAATTCATTTGGCGCTACCCATCTTAACACGGTGTGTCGGTTGATTGAACATGATACCACGTGTGTCTTACGTCTATCAACTGAATTATGACCGACACTCGATTTCCAACAAACACTTGCTATCAACTTGGTTGAGACTGTAACCAAGACAAAACAGGCATATGTTTGATCCATATGTAGATCTTATTTAAGGTAGCTCATCTTCCACACCAAGATTATACAATATCATAATCTTAGTTGTGATAACTACTTGAGAGAGCAAGCCAAATGGATCGACGAGCCTGGCCATATCTGATAATTGTAATCTTTTTGTTAAGGTTTTCTGGTTTCCGGTATCTTGACAGTAACCTTGAAAGTATCCCTTTTTCTGTCCCATGTAAGACCAAGTATTTTTATCACTTTAACTATAGTCAACCAAATCTAAGAAATACCTTTTGACGTTTCACATTAATCATTCCGCAATAACTTTGCACAAGCGTACTCACACGATTTAAAATAACCTTTTACGTAAATCCGAAGAATTATGAAGTTATCTATATTTCATTACAACGTGTATAGTTTTTATCACTAATTTATATTTGAATTTTTCAAACAAACCAAAATATTAAAAAATAACCAGTATTAACTTTTTTTACTTGACCTTGCTTCAATGACATGTCGCTATGTAATACCGTAGTGTTTGGATGATTAAAATTAATTGTTATGCGAATAATCGGCAAAATATTCAAATAATCGGTAAAAGTATTCTAATAATCGAATCATTAATTTCTTTAATGTATTAATTGTTTAATTTAATTTTTATTTGCAAAATTCCTTAAATTACATGAATCACGAATATAACAAGTTTATTTTTTCACTCTGTCAAAGTAAATTTTTGTAGGCAAAAAACTCCCAGTGGTTATTTTAGCACGGTCTTGTAGACTGCTAAAATAACCACTACATAATTTCATTATCCAACCATTTAGGTACCAGTTACTCGACTCCACAGAATCAGTAATTTATTTTTAAGGCGATGTATACACTTTTACAACAAAATCCCAGAAAATATACAAAATTTGTCATACACAAAGTTCAAAAATTTTATTAAACTAAGTTTGTATAAAAAGGGTTATTTTAATATTAAGGAATTTATGGATGATAATAACTCCTGGGTAGGGTGATCGCTACCAAGCTATTTCACCAAACCAAATTAAGTATTAGAAATTAACTTATTTAAATGTAATAAAATAACCAATTTAAATCTTGAAATGGTTACTTTACTAGCGTGAAATGGGTCGTGTGACCTTCATATTTGCTACCTGCTGCCTTTTGTGTTAGACAAAGAGAGGTCTGAATTGGGTAAGTGGGAGAGAGAAGAGCTAAATGTAAAAGAGAACTTAGTGCGTCACACGACCTGCTCGACTTCGCATGTATTTATTTTGTCTCCTTTGCAATTATTTAAATCAGTGTTAAAACGACCACTTGGCTATTTTACCGGACTATTTGTTTTTCTTATTGATTTGGACTTGTTTTGCGTTTGGTGATATTTGCG